CATTTTTTTAACTAAACGATTAATTAAAATAAATAAATTAAAATTAAAATATTTATTTATTTTAAAAATATAAAAATAATAATTAATTTAAGATAAATTAAATAAAAATAATTATTTTGAAAAAAGTACAATTTTTAATAACAACAACAACAACAATAACAACACTTCTTAATTTCGAAGATAGCCAAAAGAAACATAAATAAGTAACAAGTAGGATATTGATAATTTACTTTTTTTAGGTAAAACTAATATTATTAATAATAAATAATTATTGTCAATAATTAAACTCTCGCTAACATCTTACTTCATGCCATGGTGTCACGTAATTTATTCATTAGAGCTGTTCCACATAATAAATTCATTAGTTGTTCTGATTCTACCTCATTAGAAAATACTAGCTAGGCAAATTTAATAAAAGGAAACTTTTATGAATTTGTTTTAGGAAATGTAAGTTAATAAATAAATAAAATTAGAAATTTTATTGGATCCAATAATTACCTAGAAAACGCAATTGTTAAGAATGTCAATAGGTGTGAGCTAATTTCTGATAGCTTAGAAAAATGTTTACTTGGACATCTTTACTTTGTTGTTTAGGGCTAACAAACCATTAGTTGCCTCTAAAATTTCAAAATAAACACTTATTTATATTTTTTTTTACCTAATCACATGCATTTAAAATAATATTAATAATTAATTTATCCAATGTAATAATATATTTGAATTAAATGAAACAAAGGAAAAGAAAAAATTTTTAATCAATCAAATTATAAGGTTATAATTTAATTAATTAAAATTGTTTCCCTTCCCTCACTTTTCCTCTATTCTCCTTAATCCAAATCTACAATAAATTAAATTAATTAAATTATAATATAATTGAAAAGTGAAGTGAAGTGCGCAGGCAAAAAAAGCTTTCTCATATTGTAATAGTAAATTAAACTAGTTTGAATTTTTCAAAAGCAAAAAATTAGTTTGAAAATTTTATCAATCAATTAAATTAATTTGTCGTAAAAAATGTCAAAATACAAACCGAACCGTACCTCTTTCCAGTGAGATCAACCGCAACGACGTCATTTCAGTAGTAGTCTAATGAATTGCAAACTAAAAGTTTTTATTTTTCATATTTTTATGAAAATGAAAGGTTAAATGCCAAAGCCACCGAACGTTGCATGTTTGACACTTTTGGTTTTTAAACTATTTTCAGCACTTTCTTAGTCCCCCAACTCTACAAATTACATGTTTTT